CCACGTGCTTCAAGTAACGAGTACGCTCCACGGCTTGAAGTTGGCTTGAGGCAACTTGCAGTGGCGGTCGCTCGCAAGATTGTGTTTTTGCGAGTGACAACCAAACAGCTTCAAGTGGCAATGGCACGTGATAAGGGCAACTTTGCCCAACAAATGGTCAATGATTGTCAAGGGCAAGGACCACGAGCGCTTCATGCTTGTTTGAGAGCCCTTGGAACTGGCGCCCGAGCCAAAAAGCCCCAGGCCATTCCGGCAGTGCGTGCTCAGGATGGCACACTTGCTAGGACACCAGCTGAGACAATGGAAATTCTCACAGGCCATTATGCAATGGCAGAAAGAGGTCAGTTAGTGACCAGAGAGGAGCTGGCGGAGTTGCATGTTCACGGTGAAGTTGAGCGTAAAGCTGAAATCGACAGCAAGGACCTTGACTTGCTTTTCATTCCCACATGGAGTCAGGTGGAGCAAGCGTGCCAACGCACAAAGCGATGGAAGGCGGCCGGCATGAGCAAGATACCAGGCGATTTCTACGCTAACGCGCCGCATGCAGCTACAGCGGTGCTATTCCCGGTCGTCATGAAGATGGCTGCGCGAGGCGAAACGCCCCTTCAGTGGAAGGGCGGATGGATAGTGCCCATCCCCAAAGTCGGCCAGTCTAGCGAACTGCCACAGGCATGGAGAAGCATAGCTTTGCTTGACTCAGGGGCCAAAGTGGCACAGACAGCCATTCGCAGGCAGGTTCACTCTCAGTGGGTTGCGGCAGCTGGGCCACTTCAAGGAGGGGGACGAGCTGGAGTCCCCACAGCATTCCCCCATCAAGCAGTCAAGGCCTTCCTCTCTTACGTCCACCAAACTGGGCAGAATGGTGCAGTCCTCTTTTTGGACGGCAGAAACGCCTTCTACTCAGTGCACAGAGAGGCCTTGAAAGTCGAAAGAAACCCGGCAAGAGCAGCGATTTTTGCTGCTAAGATCACAAGCAATCTGGAGCGGCAGAATGACATCATCCAGCTTCTTTGCGGAGATGACAAACAAGAAACCACCGGAGTTGCTGAAGGAGTTCGTGACCTTCTCGCTGGCATGAGTCGCACCACTTGGTTCCAAGTAAAAGGAGCTGGCAACGCCATCATTCACACTACAGCAGGAGCTAGTCCGGGAGGACCACTCGCAGACATCACCTTTCAGATCATCTTCACCCTTTTTCTGCGTGAACTCCAAGCTGACATGCAAGCTTTGGGCGCTACTGCCAAAGTCCCATTTGATGGGGTGGCTGGATTTCAGGTTGGGGACCAGCACACCCAGCTCGAAATTCCTCCAGCTACCTGGGTAGATGATGTTGCGCTGATGATCACTGCGCCTTCTGCTTCGGAGCTCGTCAGTAAGATTGCCGATGTTGCGTCTGCAGCCGAAAGACGAATGGCAGCAACCGGGGTCAATTTGAATTTTGACAAGAAGAAAACGGAAGTGCTCATGGTCGCGAAAGGCAAATGTTCCAATAAGATTCGCAAGCAGGTGCTTGTTGATCAAGGTGCGGCTATAGAAGTGCAAACCTCGGGGGGCAACATCATTCGACTTGGCGTCACCAAGCAATATGCGCATTTGGGCACTGCAGTGCAGCGTCATGGCGGACAGGCTGGTGAAATATGGAGACGGTTTGCCAGGGCAAAGCAGACATATTGCCAGCTCCGTAGGCATGTGTTCCGCAACAAACAGATGGAGCACAAGCAACGTAAGCACCTTTTTCACCAGTTGATCATGCGAGGCTTCTTGCATCATAGTGCCACTTGGACATTCCCGCGCCAATCCGACTGGAATGCGTTCCATGCTGCCGTGATGAACCTTTACAGGGCACTAGCGCGTGACCTTGTGGGCAGATCGGTTGCCGCATGGAGCGATTGTTCGGTGTGTAACCGCATGTGTTTGCTAACCCCCGCGGAAGTCCTTCATGTCGAGCAAGCGCGACATTTTGGTCGTCTTGTGCAGAGTGGACCTTGTGAGCTTTGGGCTTTGCTCAAAGCTGAGGGTACTTGGCTTCAGCAAGCGCAGGTGAGTGTACGGTGGGTGCACAGCTTGGTTGGTTTGGCCGGCTTCAAGCCGACTGTTGAGTTGGTGCAGCTTGATCAGGTTGAGGCCAGCATTCGAGCGACCCCTGCTCACTGGAAGAATGCTGTTGATAAGGCCATCCGACGAGCTGTTGCGGCCAAAGAACGGCAAAGCTTCATGTTGCAGTGGGAGGACCAGTTTGTTGCGCGCTTGGGTGTCGCTGGCGTTCATGTTCAGGCTTCAGCTCCGGTGACATGGAAACAAAACCAAAACCCTTGCGCTTGCGTGCAGTGTGGACAGGTGTTTCACAGCAAAAGGGCTGCTGCAGTACACGCGCACAGGGCACACAAGTTGGTCACTAGAGAACATCAGCTTGCACAAGGAACAGTTTGCTTGGTGTGCCTGACCCAATGCCATGACAGCCACCGGTTGAAACGGCACCTGGTCGCTCACCCGCAGTGCGCAGACGCCCTGGAGAACGCCGAGATCCGCCCAGAGAAGGAAGGAAAATCCCAAGAGAAGGAGGACGGGGCCTTCAAGCCTCAGGTGCTTCTGGAAGGACCGCGTCCCTGGTGGGCCACGCTGAGGCCGCCAGCGATGCCTCTTGACTCGGTGGCGGATCACATGGAGGAGGGCTTGGCGTGCGCGGTTGCTTTGCAAGCTTGGGTTCACAAGTGGAATGATTGCCTTGAAATGCATCATGCTAGTTTGGTTGAGCAAGTGTCATGTTTGGTTGCCGTTTTGAAGCCACATGCGCAGCAAGGCGAGGCATGTTGGACCATGGTTTGCGATGCAATGGACATGACGGTGAAGCGTGCCATGGAAGAGTTGTCAGCTGATGTTGGACAGATGATTCGGCGGGTTGCGCGTGTTGCAATTTGGCAGCTTGATCCCAACCAGCCCAGGGAGTTGCGTGATCTTGAGTTGGGTGTGAGGGCCTGCAGGTTGACTGAGGGGAAGGTTGTTTGCCTTGATATGTGGACCATGCGACTTGCAGACATGAGCAGCTTGCCGCGCAAAGGCACGATTGTGTTGCACCTTTTCGCCGGACACAGAAGGGCAGGTGACTTACAAATGGCTCTTGAAGAGGCCAGCAGACATGCCGCCTGTGGACTTGACGAGCTCACCGTTCTCAGCGTCGATCTTGCAATTAGCTCTCAGTGTGATTTGCTTAATGAACATAACCGAGCCACTTGGCTCCGCCTCATCAAGGAAGCTTGGGTGGTGGCGGTTCTAGGTGGCCCTCCGTGCGAGACTTGGTCGGTGGCCCGATGGCGTGAGCTTCTTGATGCGTGTGGGCATGCAGGACCGCCTCCGCTTAGAGACAGTCAGCACCTGTGGGGGCTACAAACTATGACCGCAAGGCAACATGCCCAGGTCATGATTGGAAATGCGCTACTTACTTACATGTTCCAGGCCATTTTTGAGTGCTGGATTCAAGGAGTAGCGGCCATAATGGAGCACCCCGCCAAGGCGTGGTGGAGCCCCCACCTGGACCGGCTGCCGAGCGTGTGGGACACTTGGCCGGCTAGGGTCTTGACCACTTTGCCGGGATGTCAGTTGACCCACTTGAACCAAGACCAGTACGGTCAAGTCAGCAAAAAGCCGACCACTTTGCTGTCGGTTCACACCAGTGGGCTGGCAAGTGCTTTGGGTCGTTGGGCGCAGCCGCCCCCTTGTGCGCGTGTTGCTGACGGTGCCATAGGCTTTGAGGATGATGCCGGTGAATGGGCCACAAGCAAGCTTAAGATTTACCCGGAGCGTATGTGTCGGGCTCTTGCTGAGGCTGTGGTTGAGGCTGTGACAGGAGTGGTTGAGCGGTGTGGTGTTGAGACAAGCAATGAGCATTCTTCTTTTGACGAACTTGTTGAACAACACAAGGTCTCCTGGGATCCCTATCAAGCCCCCTCCCGACACCGGCATGACTGCAAGCTCTACGAGTGAGCTTGAATTCGGACGATTGCTGGTCAACCAATTTGGATGAGGCCAAAAAAAAAAAAAGCCCAAAGGAAAAAACGCCAACCGACTGGAGGAATTGGGCCCATTTTGTTTTTATGTTTTATGAGAAGCACGCAAAAAACACCCAGAGATCAGCTGGTGGCTTTTGATCTGGCCAGGTATCCTGTAGGGATCCCTCTTCCTTGGCCCAACTCCTATTAAACCCAACTTCCCAGGATTTGTCCAAGATTCATAGATTTGTCCACTCTGAAACTTGAGGCCCCAGGTTTTCCAAAAGTACCTCCAACAGCCTCCAGCTTTGCAAGGATTTGGATCCAAATTCGCTGAAGGGGAGTTTTGACCCGGCCCGAATGTATCCTCGAGCCCCTGTAGGACTTGGGGTGCCACTCATACTGTTTGTGAGGCCATGGGAAGACCTTTTTAGAGAACAGCCGTATCTGAGGGACCGATTGAAGAAGGATTTGCAGCGGCCCGCGCAATGGCAGGGCTGGCATCGGGCACGAGCACGAAAGCCTTGAGGTTTCACTTCCGAGCGAGAGGATTGGAAGTGAAGAATGCTCCCACACGTTTTGGAACTGCCGCTAAAATGGTCTTCCCAACAAAGTTTAAAGTCCAGAAACTCAGGAACTGAGCCAAAAACAACCTTGCGAATTCCAGAAATGGAGCCAAACATATGAAATTCAAGGGGGCCTCCTCCTTCAAAAGCCGGGCGAACCAAATCGTCCCGGGGCTCGGTCGCGAGAATCGCTGACTCCGCGCGCCTCTTCACATGTTTCACTTTTCTGAATCCGTGGGCGCAAGGCGCGGGATGTGCGAAACTTGGGGCTTCCCTATGCTTCCTGGAAACCAGCCGGAAGCCAAACGTTCGCCAACCAAGTTACAGGCTTTTTCATGGATACATCAAGAGTTTACCCCAAGGTGAATCCCTAATTTTCAGGTTTTTTTTTTCCACGACAGTCTTCGTTGTTTTGTTTTTCTTCAGTAAAACGCCCTCTCCACCCGGCCTCTGCACCATCAGATGCTCATGGCGAATGGCGTCATCCAGCGGTGTGAGCCCAAAACGATCGAAGGGGCTCAGGTCGAGGTTCGGGAAGTCCAGCATCTTCCTGAGATCCAAAACACGGACCCAGAACGCATCATGTCGACCCTGGAAAAATCAACCCTCTTTTTTCGGATGGGGGGGTGCCCCTCCAAACGTGATGAATCCCCACCAAAAACAAGAAACACCCCCATCCTAAAAAAAGAGGGTGATAGCTCCACATAGTTTCGAATAGTTCCTAAATAGCTCAGGTGCAGACATGGCTGGTAAACCTTCTGAATATAAATCAGAGACATGGCGAGAACCGAATGAAGTGTTTCTACCCTGCGAATCTGCAGGTGTGGACCGTTTTAGTACGGCAAATCGAAAGTTTGGGAGTCGAGGATCCCCTGGGAAATTGTTCACCTGGCCTCAGAAGGACACCATTGGAGCACTTTGGCGTCCCATGCGTGCGTCCTGTTGCCCCTTTTCGGGTGGTTTAAGCATGCTTTGGCAATGCCGATCTTAGTTTTTTTCGTCGTTGGTAGGGTGGTGCTTTAAAGGTGCATCTATGGAAGTCTGAAGCCCCTGTGGGACTCGTCGGCAGCCCAGCCTCAGTTGAACGCCCAACCTTCGTCTAGTTTGCTCCCCACCCACCTCCCCCACCCCTCAACCGTGCCCTCGGCCCCCTGCCCCGCCAGGCCGCTGAATGGTCTCGTAGTGACCATTCGACGCCGCCAGGTGCAGGGCCGTGCGGTTGTCGTAGTCGCCCAGGTTGGGGTCCACCTCAAGACCCAGGGGGCTAGATCAACACACACACACATGTATATCTACATCTACATTAAAAAAAACATATATATATGTGACTATATGTGTATGTATGTATACATACGCATGTGAATATATATATAGAGAGAGATATTATGTATATATATAGACATATGTAGATACATATATATGCGTGTGTGTGTGTGTGTGTGTGTGTGTATGTGTGTATATATGTATATCTATGTATATATGTATGTGTGTATATATGTATGTATATCTATATGTGTTTATATATATATATATTTATTTAAGAACATGCGTGCGTTTATATTTATATATGTGTGTTCTTGTATATATATATATATATACATATATGTAAACCTGCAAATGTACACATGTATAGTCTAACTGCATACGATTTCCATGTACATGTGCATGGGCGCATGTGCATTTATACATTGAACTCAAATGCAAATACATGTTCTGCAGCTTGCTGCCTAAATGGAAACCAGGTTCTAACCCCTTCAGGCTCCAAGTCTTGATCCATTTCAGGTCCAAAGGCGATGGTTTGCACTTTCAAGACCCCAGAAAAGCTTTGCCAATTTACCTTGGAAGCATACCCAGGTCCTCCTTAAACAAGGTTCTGCATACGCAGTCCCGTGTTCCATGTTGCTCCCTCGCACCCACCAAAACCAAGCCTAAAGCCTAAAGCAACCCCTCAACTAATCCATTGACGATACCAGGGTCGTGAACAACTACGCAGATGGATCCAAACAAAAGCGCCCCCGTGCCACAATCAAAACGGGGGGAACACCCCAAAGGTCAACAACTTCCTTCAGAGTGCGGATTTCTTTGAACATCACCATGCCAAGACTGGTGTCAACTAGTGAAACCAACCATCCATGCCGTGTTTGAGGGAGTCGAGGCATACCACATATACTCAATGGTCAGAACTCCCCCCCCAAATCTGCGCCAGTGTCGTGGTGGAACTTCTCTTATGCAGGAGGCTCCTCAACTAAATTGACAACCCCTACCAACCCCAGCTGAAGGACCCTCTGTGGAGGAAACCCCGAGGGGAGGGGCCCGCCTGGCAGAGGGGAACTCGCAGATTTTGGGCGAGGGAAGAAAAGAGTTCAAGGGTGGAACCCCCAACCAAAAGGATCCCAAGAAATCAGAACCAACTCAGAAAACAGCGATCAAACCAGAACTGACACACCCACCAGGAAAAATCGAAGAAACACTGAAACCCACTGAGACAAATGCACCAAAGAGCTAAAAGGGTGACACCCACCAAAAAAAAAGAAGAAACGATGAAACCCGCGAAGACAACTGCACCAAAACTTCTCAAAAGGGTGGACCTTCCCCCAGCCCAAGACTTCAGCCCAGGAGGCCCCGATCACATCCACCAGAAGCTCCAGCTGGGCGGTGTCTCCTTGCGCCGCCGCCTCACAGAGTTGGACCTGGGATGCAGGCTTCGACTGACCGGGTCCCACACCGGGGGCTTTAGAAGACATACTGTGGACGGACGAAATCCATTTCGCACCATCTAAGAAACCCTGGAACTATGATTCCCCTGTAAATACCAACGAACAATGGCTTCCCATGGTTTCAAAGTGGTGCAGGATTTCGTCCATCCACAGTACAACAACTTATTAGCTGAATTTCCCCACTTTGGTTGTTGGCTTAAGGGGTAGGGGTCTGGAGAAATACAGTGGATGGTGGCAAAATCCCTTCGCGACAACAAGAAATGAAACCATTAAGCAACTGATGAGCTGATGTACCCCTTTAACTCTGATTTGTGTGGCTCATCCTGGAAAAAACATCCCACCCCGGAGACCTTCCTAAACTGATGGTTGCGAAATCCGGTTTGCACCACCAGTTGGATTTGAAGCCATCATGTTTCGGGAATCTACGCTGGAGAATCGAATCATTCCATTCCTGGACGCTGCGATTTGGATTTCGTCTATCCACAGCGTGACATTTAAGCAAGTTGTTCAGAGTTGTTCACCCCTTTGTTCTGCTGTTTGCTTTTCCTTAAGGGGTGTGTTCAAGGGGCCTGGTGGTCTCCCTAGGACTCCCTTGAAGGAAATCTGCCTCAACCCCGCCCCCGCCCCCCCAGCGGTAGTTTGATAAAGCACAACCCAAGCTGCTGACTGTGACAAGCGGAAAGAAACAACACAATGACCCTACTTCGATCAACGCGGTTAGGTTAGAACGGTTTAGTGTAGGCCTCACTAAAGCCCCCATAAAGCCAGGTAGAGCCACGTACTAAAATTGCCAATGCTGGATTCTTACTTCCAAACGACTACATAAGGGCCAATACCGGAAACCAACACGTCCAAAGGTCGATTCGCTTTGGGCAACTGAGAGCCTCCGGCGACAAACACATCGCGTTCATGTTTTTTTTGGCCAGCGAACCGTTAATTGCAATGCCAGACATGAAGGAGCCCTCAGACTTTGAGTGTAGTTGAGTACCCCTCGCAAGCTGTCAAAGGAAGGCTCCACAACGAAACCCCCTGCAATGCCGGGGTCCCCACTGGGTCCCCCCCCCATTTTCAGACAAGCCCAAATCCGAAACACCCAAGTACCCGGCCATCGGCCCCAAAGAGGAAACTGAACAGGAAAGGTATGCGGGAGGGGGATGGTGGGCACATAAAGATGCTCCTTTTGAGGGAATTGGTTTATCATATTGTTTGTATATACTGTATGCGGGAGGGGGATGAGCTTGTTTTGCAATGTTCTTTTAGGACATTTGTTTATCATGTTGTCTGTATACACTTGAGAAGGCTGCAGCGCAAAGAAGGAGCACCCCAGAAAACCAGAAAGCCCCTTCCGGGCATCAGTGTGGCAACCCTACAACCCCCCCCGAATGTCTAGCTGACCCCAACAATGCTCCGAGCCGCCGCGGCGGAGATGCCGGTCTTGAACTCGGCATTGGCCTCGATCAGGAACTCGGCCACCTGCGTGCAAGGAACCCATGCCGCCGAACGTGCCAAAAGCTTTGAAGGAGCAAATGCCAAACGAGGAAAATTGTGCGTGTCCCAGTTGTGCCTGTGAGTAAGTGATTGGACCCACATTGATAAGATGATTGCGCCGTCTACTTTCACTCAAGTGTTCTCATGTGAGGCGATGGTATGTCCTTTCAGTTTCTCCTTCGAGCCCAAGCATCCATGCGAGATCCCTTCAGGAAATGGGGTCGACTGCGCAGCAAACCATGTGGTAGAGCAATTGAAAGGGCCCCTGCTAATCGCTCAGTGGTTTATGACAATTTCACCTTCACCTCTAAGTCTGTTGCTGGGGAAAATAACCACGGTTCCCTATGCTTAAACATCGCCGCTACCGAAGGAAGCTCACCTTGCAGGGTGCCCAAAAGGCTTTGAAAGGGGGGACGTAGGACCTTTGGCAATGTTGACCCCATATTAATCAACCAGTTTATTCAGAGGGGTAGTGCTGTTCCCTGGGTTTAGTAGGGAATCATCGCTTTTGGAGGGGCCCCCTAAACCTATCAATAAACTGCTTGGTTGATTAATCTGGGGTCAACCATCCTGGAAAGGGTTTCAAACGCGTCCAAAAAGGGGGATATAGGGACTTCTGGCACCTTGGTTGACGTTGCAGTGGCAGCAATAACTTAAATTTTAGCAGTTCAGTGGTTGGTTTTCAACCACTAAACCACAACAAGCAAAATGCCACATGTTTCCCAACAACCACCATGGCACTGGAAAGGGGATCTTTGTTGCGCATCCGGCGCCCTTTCTGTGCGGGGCCTCCGAGTGTCGTTCCCGCACGGCATCGTCAAGGGGTGTGTGCCCGAAACCTGAAGCGACGCTCGCCGCCGGGCCGGGCGACGCTCCGCGGCCCGGCCCGGCCGCGGTTGAGACTTGGCCCAAGGAAAACACGGGGACCTCTTCAAAGCAAAAGCCAAACCATGTAAAGAAAGTTTAGAAAGCTTGAAACTACATGTTTTAAGCATTTTAAATATAGTCGTTCTTGTTTTCTATGGCGCGCTTCACAGGCCTTCTTAAATACGGTCAACGTGTGTCGTTGGATGGGAAATTGCTAGAGGTGATCCCTTCTACCAACTTTCTATCCAAGGGTGGTTTGCTCATTATAGGTTTCCTTTGGTTTCCCTTTGAAACCACTGCACAAGTGTACCCTGAAAAACAAACATAGCCTTGTGAAGTTGACTTGGGACGTCGCAAGTGGATGCCCCCATTGGAAAGTGCCACGCAACTAGTACCTTCGCTATGTGAGCGCCTTTGGCCTCCTCGCGAACAACTCGACTATGGGTGCAGTCAGGAACCAGCTTTTTTCCGCACCGCAGTCGCTTTGAACGAAACGTCCTGTCCGGTCCGGACAAAAGGCGTGGTCTGGACTGCGTATTCAGCAGGGTAACCACCTCCAAACAAAGGAGTTCTTGCCAGTCCACGTGTTGCAAGCACGGCCCTACTTCATTAAACCCGATATTTGCTGGCTCCGATATACCCCTGCTGGCCTGCAAAGAATTACTATCTTACACAGCACAGTCACAGCCGTTCAAAGTTCAATTCACTGGGGTTATCACGCCTGAACTTGTCTGCGAGCTCGTTATGATTTGCCCAGAATTCGCATCCAGTGCAAAAAATGAAAGGAGCGCCACCGTGCTCCAACCCAAAAAAGCCACGGCTTGGTTATGGCTGCAGCCTCAGAAAAAAGCTCCGCGCGACATCTGGCCACACCAACCCCCAGCCCAGTCCCACCCCAGCGGCACTAAGTGACCCCGAGCAGCGGTCCTGCACCAGGAATTGGGCCCCGAAGTCGATGACCAGCTTCTCCTTGATGCGTACCCCTGCCCAAAAAGTGTGTATCCTTGTTGCATGCATGTGGGATTAATTTCCCCCAAAAAGGTAGAGGTTAAGGATGCACCCCAATGCCTTTTGTTGCCCAAAAAGTGTGTATCCTTGTTTCCTGCATTTGGGATTCATTTCGCCCCAAAAAGTTAGAGGCTTAGGATGCACCCCAATGGTGGCTCTCCTTTTGTCTTGCTTCTCAACCAACCTTGAAAAGGGTACCCTGCCAAAACCAAACACGAACTCCGCACAGGGGTCTCCAAGGCAAACAAATGTCTTTCCAGAATCCCTGTAGGTTCCATGCCTGCTTTTGTGAGGGCACCGAGGGGTGTCTTTCATATTTTGGTTTCCCTTTAAACCAACCCAGAAAAGGGTGCCGAGCCTCCATAAAGAACCGAGCCACACCCATTAGTCGCTCCCAGCCCTCCATTCTCTTTCTCAAGTCCGCTGGAGAAAAAAACAACGAAAAAACGGAACGCCCTCAAAAAAGGACATACCCTTTCTTTTCACTACACTAGCACCCACCTGCCAAAGCGTCACTTCAAGAGGAAGTTCATCTTCTAGGTACCTCCCACAAGTGCCATGTTAGTGGGAGGAAGGGTACCCAAATGATCCAGGCATAGGCTCCACCACCGTGAGGTGCCCGGCGCACACTGCGAGGTGCAAGGCGGTGCGGCCGTCCAAATTCGTGCAGTTGGCGCTGACCTTGTTGCCTGGGCGGTCGTCTTTTTTGTGAGTTGCTGCCACCCAACCTGCAATTGGTAAAACTTTTTAAAGGGACGTACCCACCCTTTTGCTGGTTTTGAATGGACACCAACAGGAACATCACCAGCATTTTAAGATACACCATAATGTTGACCCCGGATTAAGCCTGTACTATTCATAGGGGCAAAAAGCACCACCCCTCTTGGACGGGGTTGCTCTGCGCTTCCCACCTAGCACGGCTCTCGTCCACTCACTCACTCACTCACTCACTCACTCACTCATTTAAGGCTTAATCTGGGGTCGACATTCTGCCCGGTGCGAACCACGGAACCCTTTTCGAGGTTGACCATGTTTAGCTTGCTGGCTCAGGGAATAGGGAATGAGGGAATGACGCCTATAACCTGTTTCTTTTGGTTTGCTTCAAGGGAATCCCCTTCCGGTTCATTCCCAACACCCGGAACGGGTCATTCCCCGAGCACCCGGAAGTTCGTGGGATCCCCAATCAAGGGACCCTCATGGGCGAGCTTGTTTTACCCCCCAAATCATTTGTCAGCCCGCCAGGTGTCCAAAGAATATGTAAAACTTGCACCCGGACCCTCAAAATACCTTGAAAAAATGTGTTGGCCCCAAAATGATGGGGCGAAATCCATTTTGTAATGGGTAGTTTGAGGGTCCTGGTAGTCTAAATTGTCAGGGTGTACCCTGCTTCAGGTTTGCACAGAACCCAAAGAACCACTATTTTGAGAGGAACCTCCTTTTTCAGGGCACCCCCTGTTTGGTTTGCATGTGAACATTTGAGGGGCACTTTTGTTCCAGGGTTCAAATTTCCGGTTCCTTGGGTGTGTTAAGACCCGCTGCCAGAGGCTTTGAAACTGTCTCCCATGTTGTAATTGCAAGCCCCCCCCCCCAAACCCTTGCTCTTTGATATTCCCTTCTGGTTTCCAGGCTTCAGGAGTGCATGGGCAACTTGCAAACTCAGTGGGCAACCATTGGACACCACCATGCAAGATCTGGCAACATCCAGGCTTAAAGGTCATGGTACGGGATCCACATAGATATCAGCTTGCGGTGGTTCGGACGGGTGGTTCGGGGTGGTTTTCAATCTAGCCTCTGCAAGAACCAGGGGCCCAACCCTCCCAATCCAAACCACCAGCTAAGGGCGACCTGGGGATGGGCTTGAAATCGCCTTCCTCAGTTTGAAGGGTTTTTCAAGGGAACTCTCTGGAGGTCTCGTCTCTTTCGGATTTTTTCGGGCGCCGGGTTCTCCAAATAGACCAAAACATGGATTTTGGCGTCCTTTTGGCCCCCCAAGACCAACCTCAAAGCACACACCCATCTTGCAGTAACCTTTTTAGGGTCTTTCAAAGGCGGCATCGTATAGTGGTAGATCCCTTTTAAACCCGACAGGGCTTTCATCGGTTGGAGGTTCGGGATGGTTTCCCAGTCACCCTCTACAAGAACCAGAGCTTCAAGTCCCACAGCCAGCAATCCAAAGCACCGAGGCAATAGTGTGTCTGGAACAAAAACAAAAATCTTCCGTCCTCTTTTGAGACTGGACCATATTTTGTAAGAAGCACATGGTGGATTGGCTGCCAGGAACAAGAACAGTACCCAAAAACAGGCAAAACCAGTAAAAACAATACCCATGGCCAAAAAAAACAAGAGCTGAGCCCCAAATTAACCAGTAAACAAAACAAGCAAAAGCAAACCTATGGCTAAAAAAACCAAGCGCCGAACACCCTTTTTTTTTCCGCTGCCAGGGAGCTCTGCAGCATCGCCTCCATCTGGTCCCACTTCCCCTCCGCCGCGCAGGTGATGAAGTCCCCGATCCGCTCCTGCTCCTGCCGTCGGGAACATGGCGGCAGGCTGCCGCGAATTCGGCTCCCCCGAGACTAAAGCGCCTTGCCCTGAAAACCCGTTGCTTAAGGTTGACCCCGGATGAAGCTAAACCTCTGTTTACTAATATGGAGTGTTTTCCGTCCAAAAGTGACAAATCCTCACTGAGACCAGGGACACCCCCTTATTAGTAAACAGGGGTGTATTATGTATTAATCCGGGGTCAACATTAAAGGCTCTGGCTGACACAAAAAAAGAAGGAGCAGGGTTCGCCGTTCGCCCCTGCAAACATCAAGGGGCTTAGCTTGAAATGGCAAGCACCCACTTCCCAAGTGGATTGGTCATTAAACAAGTCTATGTGATTCCCACCAAAATGACGCTGAAACTTGGAGAGCGAGTTAAAAACTTCGGGACTCGGATGGACCCGGCGCTCGAAGATTAGCACATGGAACAGCGATGCCAAGGCCATGTCCGTCCATGAGTTTGGCAAAAGACAGTCTTGAGGATGAACATCCCCCCCGCAAACACTAATAACAAGTTGCAGCACCCCCAGCAAGTGGCTTTCTGCGTGGGTGGGCTAGAAAAGTCTAGCCCGCTCAACGCATACAACACAGGCACACACCAAGTGACATACCTGTTTCTCTGCCCTTAGTCGCGCGGAGAAGCGGCCCCTTTTGGTCCTCAGTTTGGAGGGCCGGGGAGGCCTTCCCAACAGGGTTGATCCCCTCTGGGTAGAAAACCTTGGCTTGTGAGGGAGTCAAATCAACATGTTGGCGCCAACCCTGAGGTTTGCCCACCCTAAGACTGTTTAGGGTTTATGCTGGCCCCACCAACACTGTTTTAGGGTTTAGCTTGTCCCACCAACACTGTTTAGGGTTTATGTAGGTTTTATGCTGGTCCGGCCAACACCTGTTAGGGTTTGTGTTGGGCCCCACCAACAGGTCTTTTAAGTTTATGTAGCAACACTTTTTTGGGTTTATGTTGACGCCACCTGCACCTTTCAGGGTTTATGTGGGCCCCACCGACACATTCTAGGGTTTTTGTTGGCCCCACCATCACCTTTTAGGGTTTATGTTGGGCCCACCAACACACTGTTTTAGGGGTTACGCCGGCTCCGCCAACACATTTTAGGGCTTTGTTGGCCCTACCACCACATGTTGGCCCGACTGACACCTTTTAGGGTTTCGGGGTTATGTTGGCCTCCAGATGCCTTTAGGGTTTGTGCTGGGCCGACCAACACCTTTTGGGGTTGATGTTGTGTTTAGGGTTTTTGTTGGCCTCCAGACAGCGTTTAGGGTTTATGCTGCGCCCACCAACACTATTTTGGGTTTATGTTGGCCTCCGACCCCCCTTTTTGAGGGTTTGTGCCGCAAGGTTTAGGGTTTATGTTGACCTGGAGGCTTTTTTTTGGGTGTGGGAGTGGCCGGGGACATTGGGAAGGCAGGCACACCTCAGGATCCTGGCAAACATGTCCTGATCTCAACTTACGGTCGGGCAAAAACTCGCTGACTAAAGTAGCTGTGATCACTTTCAACGGCTCCCTCCGAGCATGTGGGCGTGTCTTCTCCTTTTTTGGCAAGTGCCCCCTGTTTTGGTGGCTTTAAAGGGGAAACCAAGAGGCAATCGTTGAGCCATGTTGGGTCAAAATCCTTTCAGACCAGCCGTCGCCCATCTGATCGGAACCCGAAAAAAGTCTGCCTGGCCAAAGGGTGCCATTGGGCTTTGGTCGCGTGGCCAAACGAAGAAACCAAGCACCAGCTGCAACATCCAACCCAGAACCAAAGAAAACTCTTTCAACCAATCCACACGCCAAATCGATAAACCAAGCCAAACCGCATAATTGAAACCACAAAAGTCTCAATTCAGAATTCAACTGTGTCAAGCCCGCACATGTGAAAACCAGAGAACCCTTCAGGAAATGCTCCTGGACCTGGCAGCCGAACTGGGCCCCTGTCAGGTTGCGGTTGTTCTAAGTCCGGGGGTTCAAATTGGATGGCCTGAATTAACATTTTCAACCGCCAGACTTCTCGGATCAAAAGTGAACCCCTAGTCAAGGTCGATATAGTGCCTGGAACGGATCATTCAGGAACTGAACCCTTCTCAAGGTTGATGTTCCATCCTGTCAGTTGCCCAAAGGACCTGGAAATGAACGGTAAACGCTGTGAGATATTTGGGCCATGACTAAACATGGGCCAAATCAGCGAAACCACAAGGTCATTTCAAGTCGATTCGCTTTGGGCAAGTGAGTTCTTAAAGGATACCGAACCAGTTCATGAGACCAAACCACTGACGGGGACCCCACGGAGCCGTCGATCGGATTCGCGCCTGGGTCTTCTGAAACTCTTTGATCTCCTTTCGCACCGCTGCCACCTCAGCCGAGGGATCCGATTTTTTCCGCACCCGTTCATACCTAGATCTTCCCCGCAACAAGGGCGCAATTTCGCGCAAACGCGCGCAATCTCAAGAAGCGTACCTTTTACCTGTCCCTCTTCCTTTCCGTGTTGAGGAAATTGACCACTTGTTGAGCAAACGGCATGGTTGTCACGAAAACAGACGCGTTGATTTCCCAGCAGAAAATAACAGTTCATTTGGAAGGTCCATATACGAACATTGGGCTGTCAGCAAATCTGCTGGTTTGAGGCAAGAGGCCGGCGTTTCAACCACTTCAAATAGGAAATGGCGCGGACTCCCTGCAGAAGGACATGTTGCATAGCATTTTCACGATCAGTCTCACCATGCGCTTAATAAGACCATTGGAAACCCGGGTGCTAACAAATCTGTTGGTTTAAACGGTCCCTCACCCAAGACCTTACCCGAGGCAAACATTGAGGACCCTTCGGGGTGCTAATTGCCGCGGTTGGGTTCGGAAAAGGTTTGGATCTAAGGTCTGAGAACCGTTCTGGGGCATGGGCGGGAGGGGCGTGGTTTTGTCTCGCCTGATTTCAGCCTCATTTGGTTGCAGGGTTTTTGCGGTTCCTCCTGCACTACTTTGTGTATCCTCCAAATCTCTGAGAAAGTACCCCACCAACAAGTATCGAAGCGTACTGGCCATTTTCAATTTTAATTTCCACTCAGCATTCCAAAAGCAATGCGTGCACGTGCAGTTTGTTCGAGAGTACAACCGGAATTAAAAAGCCACCCTTTGCATGCCCCTGCAAAACCTGCGCTCTCAAGTTATGAGGGGGTCCTACCCCCTAAAGAGCCTCCAAATGTTGATTCTCTCAAGCCTTGTCGACCTTGACCATTAGAGAGTGCAGAGTCCAGGCATTTCGGGCGTGAGTAAATCTACGCAGAAACTTGCGAAAGTCCATCCGAGCGGCTCCTTCCAGAGACAAGTCGTGCATAGGCAGCTCCTCAGCGGCTCTCTCACTGAACCCGGGGCTCGCCGAAACAATCCAACACACGGAATGTACACCGGAATGTTGTTGGTTTTTTGTTGGAAAGGCAGCTTGAAGCATTTTGAGGGCAAAAACATAATTCATGAACGCGCGCTTGGGGCTGCAAAAGCGGGCATCTTCGATCAAGGCACGCCCGAAGGCTGCTTTGGGCACTTGGCGCATGCTCCTGGGTTTGGGCTTTGGCTTGACTTAGTAGCAGCTCCACGACATGAGGCTGCCTATGCCCCAAGCGCACATAGAACCTGACCGGGGGGCGGGGGGTCCGTGCTTACCAGTTTTTCTCTTTTGAAGAAACATGGAAGGCTCCATGCAACGCGCATCCCGGAAGGTATCCTCTTGGACCCACGCCATCGCCGCATGGTATCTCAAGCTGGGATTCCAAAAGGTCATGTTACGTCGCACTCGGGTGTGCTGCTGGGCTACCGTGAGTACCTCAAGACATCTCCGCTTAGTCGAGTCAACATGTGGGCGCGTCTTCAAACGGGGGACTCCAGTTGATTCTTTAGCAACGCTAATCATCGAGGCAGAGAATCCCCACATTCGCAATCCCCGCATTTCGCTTGAAAAAACACTTCAACATCTAGGCACCAGAACCAGAAAATTCATGTTTGATGTGCTTCTCCGGATGGGGCAAATCTCAACTGGTTGTTGGAAAATTCGAGAATCGCCCATCCTCTTGGGATAATGTCAGGTTAGATAGATTCAGCGACCTGACTTGGCCTGACCTAGGACCTGGGCGTTAAAAGGTCACGCCTTTCGTCACCTAAGAACAAGCTCGGACCCAAAGGGTGCTGTGACCGTGGATGAGGAAACCGGAACTATTCATAGGGGGTGGGTGCCCCCAGTCAACTGTTTAGATGGGTGCATTCCATTTACCAGGGCCATCCATTTTTCAAAGGCCACCTATGCTTTCGGCGCGAAGGGAAGAACAAACTTGGACAACCAACAGGTTGAAGGTCAAACGGGTTGGACCCAACTGGTACAGAACCAAATATTAGCTGAACATATGGCTTCCCAGAGCCATCAACCCCCATAAGCTTGATATCAGCTGGGTCCCACTTCCTGGGTCCAAGATTGAAAACGTGAGGTGCGTCCTAAGCCCCAAAAGGAGCTTCCGGACACATCTGGCATCGCCGAGAAAAGGACAGCATTTCCTCCCTTCCGAAGGTCCTTTCATGGCCACCGTGGCTTCGCGCGATGTCTCGTCCAAGGCGCTGCCACGAGGTCCACGGCCCCAGCCGCTCGCCGCTTCCGGCGCCGTGTGGAGGCTGAGACCTGCGAGGAGGGCCCCCATCGGTTTCCGCTTGCGTTGTCGCCCCCCTGGAAAAAATGAACATATCTCCCGCCATAGATTCCCCTTTGAAACCCACAGGGGGAAATAAAACATGTTCTTAAGCAAATGGAAGGATTCCTGATGTTGGTGGTTTTTTAAAAAGAAGGATCCCTGGAAAGAATGCGACGCTACCAACTGATTTGAACATAAACTCCCAGTATTATGTTTTGGCATGTCCAAAACACATAGTTATTAGTATTGACATGCATCAACATATTGACAAATGTTACCGAAAACAACTTGATTCGTTCTTTTGTGTCATTTTGTTGGGGGCACCCCTCTTTTGGTTGGGGGTTTAAAGGGAAATCAAGACTTGGCTTCAAAGAGTGGCACTCTTTTAGCCACCTTCGTCCTGGGGAACTGAAACAAGTGACAACTTGTCGCTGGTCCAAAGGGACAGCAAAGGCAGAGAGGGGCAACAAACAGTAAGGTTGAGCATCGAGACGCTTTGTGAAGGCATTTGTTTGCCGAACATTGTGAGCCTCCTTTGATGTTCCCTTATGGAAGGTCAAGCGCATGTTGCCACCCAACCCTACCCTGGGATTTAAACCACCGTTCAATAAACAATGGTTAGGTTCATACCACCATTGTTTACCAATTGTCATGAGCTCAATTGGGTTCACACCCACAAACAAAAGGTGATCACCTTATAGGGCCATGACCAAAAATGGTTTCCCAAAGTCATTTCAGGTTGACTCGCTTCGCTCAACAAAGGCGAAGCTTTTGGGGCCGCAACCGGTCCACCGGTCCATCCAAATCAAAGCACCGGTGAGCATCCCAGCTCGCCTGGGACCTGGCCATGTCATCATCGTCGTCGTTCATCATGATACCTCGTGAAACGACGTCGAGGCCCACGGAGCGACGTCTTTCGAAGCGAAATCCGACGCCTTCTGGGCCTGGCCAACAGTCGATCGATCGACGGATCGACGGATCGACGGATCGACTTTCGCTCGCTGCTTGTCCAACCGGCGGCTTCGATGGATTGAGTTCCTAGCTGCTTGTCCCAATGAAGGAGTATTGCCCTCGTTTCATGGGACACCGCATGAATCAACCAAGGCCTTCATCTGTAGCAATCGTAAAGGTGGCCCTCTTTACATGGGGCACAGCATGAATTGATCAACCAGGACCTTCTTTTCATCCCGGGCTCCCAACTGCTTCAGAGTCTGCCAGTTGCTTGAGCCCCCTGGAAAAACGCCCTGCAAATTACTAAGGAACCCAAAACGCCGTCTTTTTTCGAGGTCCTGTGGCTTGAAAGACCACCATTTTTATACCATTTTTGGGTGCCCCTAGAAAAACACACTGGTATGCCAGTGGGGAAGCAAATGCCACCCCCAGAGGCTCCTAGAATCTTACGGCTTTCTTGGGTCCTGCAAGTCAGGAAAGAACCCGTGCTGTTGGGAAGGGGGGGCAGTAGCCACCAAGAAAAGGGTGGGTCTTTTGGAAGGGAAATTGGCAGCTGAGGAACAATGGGTTACCTCCAAAAATAGAACGAGCCACCCAGATGGATGTGTCTCGAAATGACTTGGAGGAACCATTGGGCGTAAAACGTTCCGACGGCCCGCAGGCCCAGCCCCCCCGGAAACTCAGACAGCGAGGAGCCCGCGCCCATCTGCTCATGTTCCTGCGCGGAACGCTCGAAGCGGTGGGTGATTCGGGAAGGAGGACTTCCACCTCACGGTGGTTGGTGCGGCTTGGGTTTTTAACACACATATTGCTACAATCACAAAACATACACACGCGCACACACACACACATGTGTGTATACATATATATATATATATATATACAATTATACTTATTTATATACACGTGTGCACATGTGCAAATATACATGTATGTTGATGCTTTCATGTCGTACCGGTAGATCAATTTCTCTATCCACGTCTTGCAAGAGGCGCCGTCTTTTGACTGAGGCCTCAAATCAAAAGCTGGACGGAGGGTCCACCGCTCAACTGCAAGAACAAAGCAAATGCCCTAGAATGTCAATACTGGCCCGCCGATGTACATGAGGTCACTCCTGCGAATAAAAGGGATCCAGCAACTACACATTGGCTGCCCGGCCTAACTTAGATGCCCGGCCTAACTTAGCTGCCCTCTAGTCAGGGATCCTGGGCTTTTGAGCAGCAACTGGGCATCCCCAAAATCCGTTTCCAGGAAAAACACAAATTGCCTCGAACCCCGTAGGCATTGAACCAACAGTATGACAGCCGTTCAGAACTCACCAACCAGATCACCAAAAAGCAAGGAACACTCCTTCGGCCTTTCGCCTTTCGACCTGTTCCCAAAAACTGGCGGCCTGAAAGGGTTCCACGCCTTGGGGTGCAGATTTCCCAAGAGGCGCGGCCAAACGCGGGCCGGATTTTTTGCAAGGCTAGCCCATGGATGGGTTGCCAAGAGGAGCCAACCAAAACACCGTCTCTTTTTCCGGCAGTTCCCATCTTCCACTTGGAAACGTGCCGCTTTTTGACCCGAAAGAAACCATCGCGGCAAGCCCCGAGGCAAAGGTCTATTCAAGCAACCACGGCCCATCGAAATGGCCTCGTGGTCATCCTCACCCACCAAGGGCTTCGGCGTGAGCTTGAAGATGTTGTTGTGGATCACCTCTTGGTCCTGTCGGAAGCCTTTGGAGACAGTGGGGTTGAAGCATGTTAAAGCTGCAAGCATCTTTAACCCGAGTTGAAGGACAATCACTTAGTTTTGGCAAGCAAGCAATGGTCACTCCCCCAGAGAAAGGACACATGGTGTCAGGAAGGCCTTGACAAATTCATTTCTGCTAGAACCTGCTATTGCAAGCTGATTTCCAAACAAGTGGGCTCTTTCTCTCAGGCGCCTGTTTTTCCTATCTTGGATGCTTCGAGTATCACCTTCTGAGCCCCGTTTCATTGAGTTTCATAGTGGGGTGATGTTTGGAAAGGACATGTGGTGGAAATGTAGGGAACTTGGAACTTGGCGGCCAAAATGAGCTGGGAGTCGGGATGGCTTGGGGGGGGTGTTGGGAAAGTGAGTTCCCAGTTTCTGGAATTGTCTACCTTTCAGAGCATGTCAGAGACAGCGGCCATTGCTGGAACCTTGAACTACCAGGTCAGTCCAGCTCTTAAGATCTAGAATTCCACCCCAGCTCTTCGTCTCCGAAGTTCGCTCCCCAGTTTGATTCGCAAGGCGCAGTTCCTTGTAATTCGAGGCTTCCAGTCATCCGTTGCGAGTTGTTGTGTTGCTGCGGGTTGTTTGATATTTGAGCACTGCGACCCTCGCGGGAGGTGGCACAAAGACACAATGGCGAAGGCTGCCAGAAGCGCGTTGGGTTTGGGCTGGGGCCCTTGCACTTCGCCACTGAGGGTGTTTTGCCCCACGGACATCGAGGGGAGGCACTGGTCGGAGAAGTGGAAACTATCTTAGACTATATATTTCCTGCAAACTCCTTTCAAAATGACAGCTTGACGTTTTTCCCTTGTCCTTTTGTCTTTTTCCTCTGTGTTCATTGTGTTTTCCATTTGGATGTTTTGTTTGTCTCATCTTTTGGGTGGGGGGGGGGGTTAAACATAAACATCCAGTCCTTTGGGTAGAGCATCAAGGCCGTGTTCAGCTGTTCCATGGGCACCTTGATGAAGGAGC